TTGGAGACAGAGTTTGACAAAGGGGTCATGACCCACAGGTTAAGAACCACTGCTGTAACCAAACTAACCTGCGAAGCCAGTAATCAGAGGCAGGACTACAGAAGACCTGGGCCAGTTTACACTCAGGAGAGGGTTTGTATCTGCCATAATTACTGCAGTTTTCAGTCCTCCAGTGCTTTAGTCCTCCAGAGAATTCTTTTAGGCCTTAGCTCAAAAGAACAACACAGACCAAGTAAATATTTAAGAATCAGAGCAATCAGGAAATGCTAACTCACAATTAGTTTGGGCTAAAACCAAAACTAAGTTGACTTGCCTAATTCCACTTACACTAGTAATTATTTTCAACCCAGTTTCTTCCTTTAAAAGCACTAGAACTAACATATGGCTTCTAAATATTTGCTCTTATTCCAAAGTCTTTACATTACCAAAAATATGTCTACTTAAATGTGATGCTGTAACTTTTGAAAAACAAAATCTACATGAACTCCATTTAAACAATCTGGACACTGAGGATGTTTTGGAAATAATTCTAACAAACCCCAAACATCAGCTTGGTGTTACAAGAAGCAGATCTGCCTTTTGTACGTGTTTTGGGCATCTTCACAGACATACTCCAAACAGAACCCACTCCCCTCTTTTTAAAAGAGTTAAAGCAATCAGCTAACCAGCCCAAATATAGTTTATCTCCTATCTTTACATGGTAACTTTCCAATTGGTCATGCCATAAATTCTGTTGCTATCTTATTACATCCAAGAACATAATGAAACAGTTCACAAAAGATAAATGCTAAAAATTCAAAAGAAAATATACAAATTATACTGCATACAGACTTTAAGATTAAAAAAAAAATGCTTCCTAGTCCTAGGACAGCTGGGTAGCAGGTGCCTCTGGGAACAAGCCCCGCCAACCCTTCAGGAATCCACTCTGAACATGGAGATGGTTAAGTGCTCTTTTAGTTATTGAAAGGCAGAAGGATAACTTCTATGTCTTGAAAAACTGAACCAAACAATCTTGGCTTGTTTAAAGCAATATTCTATCAAACAAATTTCAGTTCTTTTGGAAAGCAGCCTTGAAACAGACCATAAAGAGAGGCCACAGGATCCTTAGCACACTTCACACTCCAAAACAAACGAGTCACGTATTTGAACATTCTGTATGAGACAGGTAAGAGAATGAATCTGACCAGATTTCCCTCGTGAGCAACAGGAACTGGAGTCAGGTGGAGTCTCTCTTGACTTCAGTTTCCTCCCTCTCACTGTGGGCTGAGCTACACTGTACCAAAGCACACACCCCGTCCACCCACGCTTCCCTTGGACTCTGTCTCACTGTCTTCTACTAACCTGACTGGGACTCTCAGCGATTCTTGCCCCATCTCCAGGCAACCCTCCTTTATTTATCCCCATGAATGTGTTCTTCTGTGGCTGCTACAAATATTTTCTAGTCCTCAGAGTAATGAGAGGGGGGCATGGTTCCAGACGACAGGTGCAGTAAAGGGCAGGAAGGCAGAACTGTCCTGGCCACTCCCTCACTTCCTCTTCGAGGCAGCCCAGTCTGTGCCAGGCAGTGAAGAAATTATTGTGTAAAAACTGGGTCTAGTTTTATGACCCCCGGAATCTCTATCCATCTGTGTTCAGGGCTTTATGTCATTATTGTGAAAGGGGTTTTAAAGTTCCTTATTCCATTGAGTTTAACTTCTCTAATGACTAGTGACATTGCACCTTCTAATGTATTTACCAGTACTTTATCTTCACTGGAGAAATTGATATTTAGCTCCTTTGTTCACTTTTAAAATAGTTTTGTCCTGCTGCCATTTAGTTGTTCATTAAATACTCAGATGTTAACCCATCACCAAATATATAATTTGAAAACATTTTTCCAGTTTCGTAAGTCACTCTTCCCGGCACCGACAGCATCCTTGGACGCACGTGTGCTTAGGTTTGACAGTCTGTCTATTTACTCTTCTATTACTTCTTCTTTTGCTGTCAAATCCAAAAGAAAAAGGAAGGAACCCAGCATCAGGAATCTTCCTGCCTTTCCAGTTCCTAGATTTAAACCTTTGATCAACTTTGGTTAACTTTTTGTGTACAGAATAAGGCAATGGCCAGGCTTTATTTCCTTCTCAGGCATATCCAGCTTTCCTGGCACCATCTGTCAAAAACTACCCACCTGGGCTGTATTTTAGACACCGAATGTTACTCAAAGACTCATGTGTTACAGGTGGCACTACTGGGAAGTGATAGAACATGTGAGCTGTGAGGCCCAGTGGCAGGCTCGTAGCTCACCGAGGGCAAGTCTGAAGAAGGGACTGTGGGACCCTCGCCACTTTTTTTTCCTTTTTAGTCACAGGTAAGCAGTTTACTGCCTCCGGCTCTCCCTCCCAAAGACCATCTGGCAACCCTAGGAAAGGTTTGAAGTAATGGGTTTACCTGATCATATTCTGGAGCCTCTGAAACCGTGGGCTCAAATAAATTCTTTCTTGTTATAAAACATTTACCTCAGGTAGTCTGACCCAGTGGTCAGAGCTGACTAACACAGTGGTCTTGGCACCATCACCGAAAGCTTACTCGCCACACACACACACACACACACACACACACACACACACACACACACACACACACATACACGAGGGATTAGCTGACGGCCCTCCACTCCCTCAGTGCATCTTTTAGTCTTCATGCCATCACCACACAGCTCTCAGTGCAGTGACATTTACTTCTTTGTGTTCTTTTCAAAGTTAGCTTAATGTCTAGTGGCCGTTGAATTTACGATGAGTTTTTGTACTTCTCTAAAAAGTGTTGTTACAGTTTTGATAGAGCACATGAATCTGCAGTTCCCTGTACAATGTTAACATTCTAAGTCTTCCAATAAATGAAGAGGAAATGTCTTTTCATTCATAGCTATTTCCTTTACTTTCAGTAGCACCTACAGTTTCCAGTGTACCAGTCTTCCATGACCCTGGCTGAAAACACTGTGTTGTTCTAAATGGATGGTATGTGGATTCTATGTCGAGGTCAAGGGGACTGCACCTTCTGTTCTCACAAAGGCTTCCACTGCCGCAGAAGCCATCTATGAGTATGAAACGGACAACCTGTCTGAGGGTATTGTACGGAACCATTGAATGGTAGCCACACTTAACACATCTGCCAGAAATATAAACAGATAAATTCAGAGGCCATTCAGCTACCTTGGTCATGATGATAAATTCCTAAAGGCACTTGAGAAACCCTAGGTGAGATCAACAGATGAAACACTAATGAACCCAGCCACATCGCTATTTCACAAAATAACAAGCAAATAAAACATTTATCTAAAGCCAGGCCTGGCGAAGTGTTCAATCCCCATCTATAGACTGGAAAAAGAGAACTGACTGATATCCAAATGTGTACTGTGGCACATGCGTGCCCATACAAACACCCAAACATAAACAAATAAATAAATGTGATCTTAGGACACTTAAAGCCATTAAGCTGGAGGCTGGTTCCAAAGACTACTGAAGCAAAACTAACCATCTTACTTGCTATTTCTCATCTGTGGTATTGTATCGGCCACCCACTGTGCACTCATTTTAAACCATCCAAGAGGTTAACATTTATTCCGAAACAAGACAGAATTCTTTGATGTTAAATATTCTACATTATTCATCATGCTCATGAATGATTTACAGCGAGAATGTCAGCATTCTAAATAATTTATGTATTTTTTAAGTAGATGGCTTAAAATGAAATCTTACCAGAACAAAGGAAATACAGATTTTGTTTTTTCTTAGTTCCTCAGTATTGAAAAAATGGTAAATAGATACTGCAATTGTTTTCAGGCTAATTCATGAATTACAGTGCTAATATTTACTAGTAATTACTACTAAATTTATGGAGAAAATTTTAAATCTCAACACCTCATTATGAAAAGAACTCAAGTAATGAAGACATTTAGGAGAAAAGCATTCAAAACTAAAAATATCTATAATCCCAGGTTAGAGAAATGACTCAGTGGTTAAAGGCACCTGGGGACATTCCCAGTCACCCAAGTACCAAACCCCGAAATCACGGGGGAAGTGAGAACCAATTTTTGCCTTCTGGTTTCTAAACACAAACATAAACACACACACACACACACACACACACACACACACACACACACACACACACAAATACACACACACATACATACACAAAAATAAAAGTGATTGGAAAAGTCACTACTTTAAAATAATTATAATCCCAAATCATTTATCATGACATCTAAAGAATGGGTTAATACTACTTAAAATTTTAAGATATGTATGATCTACATTCTATTTGCTTATAAGTATTATGTCTACTAATAAATACAATTATAAATTATTATAATTTTATTTGAAAAATAACTATTCCAGAATACTTTGCAAAAGTAACAAAGTATTGAAAACTTGCTGAAGCAAATTTCAATTCGATTTTTTTTTTTCCATCAAAGAATTCATTGAGAACTTGTTTTTCAAGTTCTGGAAACAAATGCATCAAACTGATTATCTGTATTCTTTACATTCGTTAAAGAAACAAATAATAATGAACCAAGTAGAAGAAACAAATAAAACAAAATACACACTAGAATACCGTGTGTTTTCTACTGAAGCTCATGTTACCTAGACACAGTTTTAATGTGGAAACCGAGTACAGTTGACACATTAGTTAGTTTTTAGTGTGTAGGCCATGAGATAGAGTCCATGTGCACATCATGTTAGAGTATGATTGAGTCTGCATGGTTTATTCTGATAACTGAAATGATTATCATGTACAGTATTTTGGAGGGCCTACATGTTTCTCTAAATTCAAACTGATTTATTTAGCAATATTTACATTTTGCTGTTAGTACAGTTCTATAAATAAGCTACAATTACAGCCACAGCTATGGTTACACATTAATACACAGTCTATAATGTATAGACACACAGTTCATATTTATGAACTATGTTCCTCAATGTGATGAAGAAAATCTAGAAAGAAGAGAGAAATGTACTTACAAAGTCAAAGTCTCCATCTTGAGGGACTCTCCAGTCATCGGGAAAAGCCCTCGGGGACACAGGGCAGGACTCACGAACACTCTGATCACAATTTTCATGACTCTTGTTCTTGAAGTCCTGCTTATCAAAGTAGTCCATGAAAGACGGTCTTTGTACTTGGGGCGATGTGGCATTTCCTTAGGTAAACAAATACAGAAGGAGGATATAAGCTCTAACAGTTAAAGAACTATGACATTTATTGAAACGGAATTATTTTCAGTGAGCCATATAATAAATTTATTCTGGTCAAGGTCAAGGCCAACACAGTCAGTCCTAAAAGTAACATGAAAGAAGTACCCAGGCCAAATAAATATGAAACAAATGTATAAAGACTCCGTATCTCTTGACTATAAAACATTTCATTATTTTAATGACATCTTTATCATAATTTTATTAAGAACAGTGCCAGTGTCAAGGACAGTACAGTTTAAACATTTCTTTTTTTTTATGTTTATGTCTGTGCTAATTATAATGTCAGACTTTTAAGCTGTTCAGAACCTGGAAGGCCTGATGGGTTTTTCCCTTCATCTGACTGCTTCCTTGAAAGTCTTGGACCTGATTCCCCTGCTCCTTGGGCACTGTGGCTTTGCCTGTCTTATTTCTATCTATGTCTCCCGAAGCCATTTCTTTATCTCAAACGGTCTTAAGTGCTAGTTCCAAGTTCACAGCTGCTTGCTATTATACCACTTCGTAGAGACGTATCTGAGTTAGCAGTTAACTTCTGAGGCTAAATGCAAGATTGTTCCCACCAAACCTGTAGCTCCAGTCACCCTCCTCTGCCAAGGCCAACACAGTCACTCAATCCTTACAGCAATGAGGCTGAGCATTAATTCGGATTCCCCTCTCCCCAAAACTGACCCAAAGTGGTTTAAATGGAGGTATTTAAATTTCTCTATTTTCTTAAGAAATTTTTTCATTCATTTTACACACCAATCAAAGATCCCCCTCTTACCTCCTACCACCCCCAGTCTCTCCCCCCACCACTCCCCCACCACAGGAAGGCAAGGCCTCCCATGGGGAGGCTCATCCCGTAGAGGCAAGTCCAAATTTCTCTATCTTTGATACTTAGTCTCTAGGCATTTCTTGCCTACTCCATAAAAAAGGACTGAGGGAGCTGCAGCCTCCAATGCCTGGGCTTCTGGGAGCCGGATGTTGTCAGCACAATGACTTTCCAAACACAAACAAACCACGCCATTCTGCTGCTCAGAATCTTTTGATGGCTTATTCTTTATATTGGACAATTACAGTAAAAAATAAACATTTAGAATAGCTAATTTTATTTTTAAATCCTGTGGTTAAGGTCTTGATCAGTAGTTTCTAAATTAGATTCCTTAAAGCCCGGGTTTCAAACACTGTCCCGGAGACCACCAAGAAGGCAGTCCTCCTTTAATTCTGCAGATAGAAAGTAAGTTATCTTCCATTTAAAGAAGGACTTCCTTGAGGGAGGACAAGAAAGTCACTGTGTCCTGACTTGTACTCATGTAAGCTCCTTTCACAGACTTGTCCATCTTTGCTGTGTGTTTTCAGATGAAACAGCCCCAGTTCTGTTCAAGTGACATGCTCCTCAGATTCATCACCATCCTGTTTACCTCCCTATGGGGACACAGCAGACTTGTAACACTGTGAACGGAGACAACAGTCATAACAGTGACCTGGCCAATTTCGAATGCACTTGCAACAGCACATGCAGCTTAATACTGACAGCTACAGAGCACTGCTGGATGAAGATGGGGTATGAAACCATTTCAACAAAAGAATGCAGTGCTAAAAAGGTCCACTTCCAGTCTCTAGCAGAGGGTGAATCAGAAACCTTGTCTACTTTCTGTCATAAATTCAGAGTCAGGAATCTTTTAACTTAAAAAGAGTGGCAATGTCCAACTCCAATGTGATAGTTTTTGTTATACCTTATTATATTTTATTTTGTTATGTTTTATTATTATTCCTTAGAAGTCTGTTTGTTTTCTAATGAGAGACAAAAAAGGAATGGATTTGAATGGGAGGGGAGGTGGGGAGGAACTGGGAGGAGGAGAGGGAAAAGAAACCATAATCAGGATACATTATGTGAGGAAAAAAAAAATCTGCTTTCAATAAAAGGGGGAAAAAGAGGAGCGTTAATGAGATGGACTATCATGCGGGCATTCATCCATCTTCCCTTTCCTCTCCCCACCTCCTAAGTCCCTGTGTGCATTTATTTGGCATACTTGAATTGTAGATAAGTTTGCTCGGGTAAGGATGTAGGAAACAGGAATTGTAGTGCATGTATTTGTGTAAAATATCTCATTACTTTAAATGATATAATTTTCTCCTAATGCTACAAACTGTTTACCGGTTTCATACTGGTTAGGTAGTTTAAATGGTAAACCACATATAACACAGACTTTACACCTCATTCCTACTAAGTATAAAAAAGCTGAAAGCAGATCATGAGGACATATGTGCACTCTCGTTCACTGCAGTGTCTCCACTCAACTGCTGATGAGCAGACCAGGAAGCAGACTGAGGAGGGAAGGAGCTACTGGACACTCTAAGGCTGTATTACTGACATGAATGGGAAACTCACATTTCACTAACATTGCTAACAAATGTTAAATACCCCTGATTTGTCTCTAGACTTCATCATTAAAACACATATTTCTAGATTTTCAGAATTGAAATTTGGTTTCTACTGTAACCTCTTACTATAAAATAGGATCTATAAATTAAACCCCAGTCTCAATTTCCAACCCATTTTATGAGGAAAATAATACAGTAAGTTAAAACTACATTTGAACAATTTCTCTATAAGATACTTGATAAAATCAAAACACAAAGGGAGAGGTAAGGAGATAACAGAGAAACCCTCTGCTTAGTATTCCTTTCTCTCTCCCTTCTCCTCCATTGCTCTTACTGAGAGAGAGAGGGAGGGAGAGGGAGAGGGAGAGGGAGAGGGAGAGGGAGAGGGAGGAGAGAGATGCTAGGGAACAAGTTCAGGACATGGTCTATGTTAGGTATATGCTTGACTGTATACCCCTAGCCCAAGAAGAGTAATTCTGTAATGGAATGATATGCATAGTTATAGTTCTGATATTCACCACAGTCTTAAACTGGGTCATATGATAGACATTTGAAAATTTAACATGAAACACAATGTCAGAGGAGAGGAAAATGATCTTTGACAGCTAGGACTTAACAACTGGGGGAGTAAAATTTCCAAAGACCAGCCCAAGCTGGTTGGCCCTGAACTCAGGATCCTTTTGCCTCAGCCTCCTGAGTGTTAACTGCATTCTTCACAAGTAAATTAAGTATGTATAAGAGCTTTGGTAACACACACACACACACACACACACACGTGCGCTTCAAAACTACTAAGTAAACAGTACCCCCTGAGCAATACCCCTTCCCAAACAAATCTCTCCTCTCCCAGCACCTCCCTTCACTCAGCACTGGCTTCACTACAGATATTCTAGTTACGGTTTGCACTTTTCCCCAGGACTTATGGAACGCCTTTCAGAAACTTTACCAACACTTTGGTGTTATAGTGAAGCATGTAAGAGTGTTTTAATATACAAGGGATTCACTTTGTGTGTGTGGCCATGAGAGAGTGCATATGTTTGTGTGGGCATATTTGTGTGTGTGTGGGGGGGGGGCGGTGGGCTTGGAACTAAAGCCAGGGCTATACTTCCAGCCCACCGTAATCATCCCACTCCTGATTCAGATCTTTATATCTGAGAAAATTCACCCAAAGCACAGTGGGAATGAATGGAAGACCAACTTTTTCCTAGGAGAAACTAGTACTAACAAAGCACCTGCTAACGTAGGCTATACGGCAAGAGCAACAGCATATGCTTAGAAGAAGGAGAAAAGTATGCGCAAGCATACTCAGGTTAATGATATCTTGTTATAAATCACCCGAAGAGAAAAAAATGGGACAAACTTCTTTAAGTTGAATTTTAGACATTTGTTGACTCTGTAAGAGTTATTGGAAAATAACCCTTTTGTGGGGGAAAAAAGTCTTGAAAACTAAAAGCAAGATTACTTCAATAGGAATTTCCTTTCATGAAGAGCAGAGGAAAGGCTGGATAAAAGTCAGACATCGACTATAAGCAATGAAAGAGAAAGGTAAGGCAGATGACCCCAGGGCGCAATAACACAAAAGGGAACTCACAGAACTGTCTCCCGCCCTGGGAGCCTCGGTCTTGTCTGCAGCCCTTCCATTCCTGTCAGCATGAGACCTCTTCTGGCAGAGCGGCCAAGTGACACAATTCTAACATGAAATTATGTAAGAGTTTCCAAAAAGTAGAGAGGTCGAGCTGGTGTCTGCATGGAACCTTCACTTCTAGTCTCTTTGGTGTGGGAAGGTACTCTACAGGCTATGGAAAGAGAAAATGAGAAACTGGAATGCTAACCCAGCCACAAAACCCTGTCTTGCTGCAAGATGTGCTGGGGCAATGGTGACAGAGAATTGTGGCCAATCAATGGTTTAACGTGAGGCCCACGCCACAAGAGGGAGCCCACGCTCTGCATGGCCAGGAACCAGAGACTGGCAGCCCAGAGACCTAGGGTAGCATCGAACATGACGGGCAGAAGAAAAAAGAAAATCAATGGAGTGACTCCTAATGATAGATGGGTGCCTTGTCTAGTCATTAACAAAGAGCTCTGGATGCAGATGGGAGAGGGTGCAGAGACCCACAGCCAGACATTATGAGGAAAGAGTCTAAATTGAGGTCTCCAATCAGGTCCTCCAAGCTTAGGGAACGCTGCTGAAGAACAAAGGCAGACTGTAGGAATCAGAGGGGATGGAGAACACAGGAGAACACAGCCCAGCAAATCAACCAAGCAGGGCTCCTTCATGGGGCTCACAGAGGTGGCAATCATGGAGCTTGCATGGGTCTGCCCTAGGTCTTCTGCATACATGATGTGGTTGTACATCTTGGGGTTTTTGTGGGTCTCCTAACAGCGGGGGGTGGGGGTGTCTCTGACTCTTCTGCCTGCTCTTAGGACCCTTTTCCTACTACTGGGTTGCCTAGTCCAGTCTCAATACGAGCATTTGTACCTAGTCTTATTGCATCTTGTAATGCTATGCTTGGTGGATATCCCTGGGAGGCCTGCTCTTCTCTGAAGGGAAATGAAGGAGGTGTGGATCTGGGGGAGAAGGGAG